GATGAGCACAAAGGAAGTGGACGAGCAGATGCTCAATGTTCAGAACAAGAACTCATCTTACTTTGTAGAGTGGATTCCAAACAACGTCAAATCCACTGTCTGTGACATCCCACCTACTGGTCTTAAGATGGCTTCAACTTTCATCGGGAACTCAACATCGATCCAAGAGATGTTCAGGCGTGTGAGTGAGCAGTTCACAGCTATGTTCAGGAGGAAGGCTTTCTTGCATTGGTACACAGGTGAGGGTATGGACGAGATGGAGTTCACTGAAGCCGAGAGTAACATGAACGATTTGGTCTCAGAGTATCAACAGTACCAAGATGCTACCGCTGATGAAGAAGGTGATTATGAGGACGAGGAAGAAGGTGAATACCAACAAGAGGAAGAGTACTGAGAGAGTGATTTAGCCTATCCACCCCTTTAAATCAACTTATTAGTCGTTTGCTACTTTTTAAAAAACAAAAGAAAACCTCAACTACTAGTTGCAGGTTTTTTATGCTTGTATGGACAAAATCTGGATTTCTTAGACTTGTTTTTTTTTTTTTAACTCTTGTTCTTAATTTCGGTTCGTTTCTTTCGACATTCCATCTTCCCGATTAAAACTCTCTTAAAATAGTCTGCGAAGTGTGATTTGCGTCTGCAAGTTGTATTTGAATTTTGCACTTGAATATTATTACTGCTTCCTCAGCTCCTGAAGTTTGATGATGAGCTCCCTAGGGATGGGGGATTTGTAACTCTAGCACGAGGATGCTACATAACTCACTCCAAAATTAAATTTCAACATCCTTCTGAAATATCATCAATACAAAGTATTGGCCTCTTTATTAGTATAACAAAACATCAATAACAGTGCCAAAAACATTCTCAACGTCACATAAGCTAAAACTTAGCTGCCTTTAAAATACAGTTTTCTCAAATAAGCAGATAAGTTCAATTTAATTTTGATGTGAATAAATTATGTTGTGATGAAAAATATTATATTTGGAATTACTAGGACGACATTAGTGTTAATACTCTGTAGATTTGGTCAGACTACATAATGCAGATCTCTCAATATAAAATACAAAACGACACAGTTTCAGAGAACTCTCACTCGCGTCTCAAGTGCAATCTATAACTACTCGCTGTCTTTCAATGGAACGTGTACTTACACATTTAAACTATAGCGAGTAGGTTTATAAAACGTACTCGCGAGTGTTTCGTTTTTTTAGGGACAGAGATTTTTTTGAATCGCAGCAACGGGTCTCTCTCTCTCTCCAAGAGAGGAGAGAGAGATACTACAGATTTTTCAAAATTCTCTCTCTTTCACAAAGCTCGAAAAGAAGAGGGAAACAAAAAGATAAATAAAATTAAAAAAATTCTTTTTAGGAGAAAAACAAAAGTAAAAACTTTTCATCATGAGTCTTCCTCACAAGCCCAATCACTAATTCCCCCGAATTAGGTCTCTCGTTTTGGGATAAAAAAACTCATCTTTTTCTTCTTCTTCGTATCGAATCTTTAAGAAGTTAACTCTTTTTCTTGTAAAATCGGTTGATTCATGGAAATGGGTAGCCCGAATTGGGTTTACTCTATAGTTTCTGCAGCTACCCTTTTCGTTTCTTGCTCTTTTGCTCTCACTCTTGATGGTTAGTAAATTTACTTTTCTCATAAATCTGAGATTTTGATCAGTGAGTTTCCAGGTTTAATGAGCTTTTGATGTTGTAGGGTATGCTCTTTTGGAGTTGAAAAGCGGATTGAATGATACGAGGAACTCTCTAGAGAACTGGAGAGATTCAGATGAGTCTCCTTGTTCTTGGACTGGTGTTTCTTGTAATCCTCAAGATCAAAGAGTTGTTTCTATGTAAAGAATGCTCTTTTGTCTCTCTCTTCTTTACCACTTTCTCAATCCTTTTGATTCTTTCTTTAATCTGATTGTGGATTATGCAGAAACTTACCTTATATGCAACTAGGAGGGATAATATCTCCTAGCATTGGAAAGCTTACTAGACTGCAGAGACTGTGAGTTATTAATCTTTGTAGATTTGGATTCTATGCTAAATTTTGTTGGTTAAGTAGTTTGATTCAATCCAAATTTCGGTGGGTGTTATGCAGGGCACTTCATCAGAACAGCTTACATGGGCCAATTCCTAATGAAATCACCAACTGCACTGAGCTCAGAGCTATGTAAGTCATTTTATTACACATTGGTCTCTTAAAATCTTTGCAATTAAGCAATTAAGAGTGTTGAACCATGAAACATTGATGTATCTGATTAATCATGTTTTCAGGTATTTGAGGGGTAATTATCTTCAAGGCGGGATTCCACCGTATATCGGCAACCTTACGTTTCTTACTATATTGTAAGCTTAAGAAAACTGTATTGTTTTAGTTTCTCAGCTTTCTGATTTTTTTTTTTGCATATTTGATCATTTCACAGTATATGTGAGGTTCAAATACTTTTTGATGATGTGAGATATTTTCAGGGATCTATCAAGCAATACATTGAAGGGTGCTATTCCTTCTTCAATTAGTCGATTGACGCGCTTACGCTCCTTGTAAGTACGCAAGAAATCTCGCCTTTAGATGTAACTGTGGAAGATTTGTCTCTTAATAATGTGTTTGTTCTTGAACTCTTGTTTGAATCAGGAATATGTCAGCCAACTTTTTCTCTGGTGAGATCCCGGATATCGGAGTTCTCAGCAGATTCGGGGCTGAATCGTGAGTCTTTCTCTTATATACATCGAAAAACTTCCGTGCTAATGTTAGACTAGTTTGCTATTTCTGACTATGGATTTGTGTCTTTATGGTTAGATTCACTGGTAATTTGGATCTTTGCGGTAGGCAAATTCACAAGCCATGTAGATCATCAATGGGTTTCCCTGTTGTTCTTCCTCATGCACAGAGTGATGATGAATCAGGCAAAGATCTTATTATTTTACCCCACTCATTGCTTCTCAAGGCTTCCTTTGGCTTAACTTTCTGATTCTTGATTTTGAAATCCTCACAGATACTCCAAAGCGATCATCGCGCTTGATTAAAGGAATTTTGATCGGGGCAATGTCAACAATGGCTCTTGCATTCATTGTGATCTTTGTGTTCCTATGGGTTTGGATGCTCTCAAAGAAGGAAAGAACAGTAAAGAAGTACACAGAAGTCAAGAAACAAAAGGAACCATCCGAAACGAGTAAAATCCACATAAACTTTCTATCTTCATTTCTTGCTTCTTAGACTTTTTTTCTAAATTGAGTTACTCCATTTTTTTTTTGGAAAAAAGGTAAAAAGCTTATTACTTTCCATGGAGATCTTCCATACTCCTCGACTGAGCTGATCGAGAAGCTAGAGTCTCTTGACGAGGAAGACATTGTTGGTTCAGGAGGATTTGGCACGGTTTATCGAATGGTAATGAACGATCTTGGAACATTTGCAGTCAAGAAGATAGATAGGAGTCGAGAAGGATCAGACCGAGTTTTTGAGCGAGAGGTAGAGATTTTGGGTAGCGTCAAACACATCAATCTAGTGAACCTACGTGGATACTGCCGCTTACCGTCTTCAAGACTTCTCATCTATGATTATCTAACCGTGGGGAGCTTAGACGATCTTCTCCACGGTAAATGAAACTTATACACATATCTTATCTTTCATTTTGGTCTGTGATGCATATTGATCTTTTTTCTGGTTTCTTTATCTCTCCAGAACGAGCTCAAGAGGACGGTTTGTTGAATTGGAACGCTCGGCTCAAAATAGCACTAGGTTCCGCGAGGGGTCTAGCGTATTTGCATCATGATTGTAGTCCCAAAATAGTTCACCGTGACATAAAATCGAGCAATATTCTACTCAATGATAAACTAGAACCTCGAGTCTCTGACTTTGGCCTAGCAAAGCTTCTTGTTGACGAAGAGGCTCATGTTACCACCGTGGTAGCTGGCACCTTTGGCTATCTTGCTCCAGGTTCTGTTCTCTGCTAACTTCTTTGATGTATCTTAAGTCAGTAAATTACCTAAGTTGCTGACTTTCTGATGAAATCTTGGAAACAGAGTATCTGCAGAATGGGAGAGCGACGGAGAAATCTGATGTCTACAGCTTTGGAGTTCTTATACTTGAGCTGGTTACTGGGAAAAGACCAACAGATCCGACATTCGTTAAAAAAGGCTTAAATGTCGTTGGATGGGTAAGAGAAAAACTTAGATCCTTCTTCCAACAAGAACTGTTCTGTTTTTGACTTCCCAATACTCTGTTTCTAATCAAATGTTCTTTCTTTCAGATGAACACTTTGTTGAAAGAGAATCGATTAGAGGATGTGATGGACAAGAGATGCATTGATGTAGACGAAGACTCTGTTGAGGCATTAATCGAGATAGCAGCGAGGTGTACGGATGCTAACCCGGAGGACAGGCCGGCTATGAACCAGGTGGTTCAGTTGCTTGAGCAAGAAATAATGTCGCCTTCTTCAGCTATCGATTACTACGATGATTCTCATTCCGATTACTGTTAGAGCATATGCGCGGCTGAAAATAACCGGAAATTCATAGCTCTCGCTCTTCTTTCTCTATGAATGTTGTGATTTTGGATCGAGGGATTGTTTGTAAAGTAAGAATTGAAGGTGTTTGTAAGATTATTGAGGTGCATTGTTCTTGTGCACTTTTAATGGAACGAAATGATCGATTTTTCAGCATTCAAAGCAGAGGAGACGAGTCAATTAAATTTTACACATGAGTTTAGTTCTTCGTGTTCTCCCCCCACTTTTTCATATAATATGTTATAGAATTGGAAGCTGCAGGAGTCTTGTTTGATAAAATGCGTCAAAGAACAAAGTGAATTATGTGGTCTCACAGTCACAGAGATTGCATCTTTGTTAGATTTGAACCATGGATATTGATTTTACAAGAGTGAAAATGTGGTACTTGTAGAAGCTCTCAAAGGAGTCGGATTCCAAGACATGAAGTGAAGGGTTGCTCGAGCTAGGTGAGGGTGTTGGACTTGGAGTTCTTGCTCTTCGCCTTCTTTTTTGTCTAGTGCCACGCTCATAAGATGATGCCCTTGGAACTTCCAGCAGACGAGGAAGGTGCACTCGAAATGGAGTGTCTACGAGTCTCTCCCGTGTAGAGCTCGGTATCCATTGGCACATCCTCGGAATCCGGTGCTACATCACCAAATGTTGGCTCGTGGCTACTCGGTATCCATTGGCACAATGCTGTCTTCTTTGCAACCTTCTTGGTTTTCGGCTTGGGGTTGCTAAGACCGACTTCATCACTAGAGCTTTCGGATATCTCTCTTGAAGCAACACCATTCTTTCTCTTATTCACAACACCATTCTTTGTGATTTTTCCCATTCTCAATTCAAGTACCTATAACAAACCAATTGCATATATCAAGGAAAGAGTCTCTAGGTGAAGACCAACCCATTTAAGCTCATTTATAAAGTGAAACCAACAATCTCAATGATTCCCAAATTTTCGTCATTTTTCTTTTAGAACCCTAGAAATCGAAATTTCTCAAACAATTCAATGTTTTTAACTCACGAAATCAACAAACCAAGCAACAATGAACAAGTAAGTAGCTATTTCGACCTAAATCGAATGAGGTAAAGGTAAATGCCAAACACTGAAAATTCATGGAGTCTTTACCTTGGGAACAAAAATCGTTTAATTTTGGTTAAGATTTGAGTGAAAGTGATAAGAAAGTTGTCTTCTTGTTCTTCAAAAGTCGTAAAGGAAAGAGGAGAAGAAGAAATCTTGACTTGAAGAGAGTTTGCTCATGGGTTCAGACCAAGCGAAAACCAGAGCAAGTCAAATTAAAATTGAGATTCAGGAATCAAACCGGATAAAAAATGACTTGGCTTGTGACGTGCATATTAATTTGGCCTGTGAGGAGGTTTATGTTTTTCTTTTCCTTCATCCCGAGCGTAACAAGCTCGGCATTTAGCCTCGGTAAGCGACAGTCCAATTTTTCAACTTGTGAAACTTATTT